AGTGTTTAGCATTAGAACTGAATTAGAATTCAATAGAATCCTATGTGGAGGAAAGACAAGATTCTGAATTGCCTGCCCCTTAAAAGGAGGGACAAACCAATAGAAATTCAAAGAAAATGCAATTTCTGTTCTTTTGGTTTACAAGTTTTAGATTGCTCCATTTAGGTTGAATCGTATCTCGATTAGCCTTCAAGTTCACATAGTATGTTGAATTAGGATTTAAGTAGGTGTCCCTTCCCCAGTGGGATTTTAGTTGGGAATCTAATAAGGAAAGAGAAGCTTGTTGTTTCTTCTAATTTGCAATGCAAGCCTCTGAAAAGAGAGGAAAACCCATGGAAAAAACTGATTTCAAAACAATTGATTTGCAAGGTTTACATTGCGAGGCTTTACTTACATTTTGGATTTCGATCAGACTTCACTTCATGTTCTTGAACTAGATATTAGTCAGCACTTCCCTTCCAAGCACGGTTCCAACTAGAAGTTAATGGGCATCTTGAATTTAACTGTTCGTTTTAGATGTGTAATGGGGGTCCTTTCCAAATAAGCTGTTAAGTAGAATTTAGCTATTTTTGTGTTTCATTGTTTTTAAGTATTCCATCCAACTCTAAATGGGGGTTTCTTTCCAAATATCGTCTGTATTTGACATGTGTATAGCTAGAACTTAGTAAGGAAAGACAGGCTGGTAGCTTATTCTATCTGATTCAATTATAGCTGTTGTTTTTAATTTGAATCAGAATTGAGCTGGGATGTCCTTTCCAAGTATCTAGGACTTTAATTCAACTTTAGTCATAGTTTGGATAATATGGTAAAGAAAGACAAGCTGGCTGTTTCTTGCAGTTCATCTGACTCGGTTGCGTTTAGCAAGTGAAATGCCCAGGCCGCAATGGCAAATGTGTCCTTCTTGCGGATTTGTGTTTCTTCTTGCTGACCCCAACCTCAAAAACCAAGCAAACCTCAAGAAACCCAAAAAACACAAAAACAAAATTTCAGACCGTAATTCAGACCCTATGTATCCATGCTGGCTGAGTTAGGGTCTGACATTATGTTTAATTGTTGTTTGTTTGGTTTTCTCAAGGTTTTTTGTTTTTTTGGAAAAGTGCAGAGGAAACATACGCAAAAAACAACTAAATCCCTGTGTGTCAAAAAACCCACCCACCCACCCACCCCAAGAGGGACCCTTCTGGATACTATGTATATATATATATATGTATATGTGTGTGTGCCATGGCCGAAACTCCTCATGTGGCCTACGCTCATGGCTCCCTCAATAGGAATTGTTGTAACATTGCCAAGCAAAGGGTCGAGTCCAAGGCATCCAAGGCAGAGTCAACTTGGGACCATGGACGTGGGAACCATGGACTTGTCCCGAAGCAGGGCAGACTTTGGCAACAAATACCATCTGGATGGCCAAGACATGCCCATGGACTTCTTACTTTGGTGGTGGAAGTGGAAGTTCGCCTAACGCGTCGGAAAGACTGGCTTGCCCCAGGGCAAATGGGTGTGTCCCTATGTTAGGACCCAAACTGGTTTGTGTCTTTTTTTGGATACCATCCCCATTTGGTTTCAAGTATAACAATCAAAACGATCGCCGCACTGCAGCCATCTCTGTAGCACAGGTTTGGCAGAGAAACTGAGAATCACCGATTTGGTGGGCCCGCTTCAAATGTTTTCGACTGGTCCCCATGTGGCGCCCTTGCGGTGTATATGGACACGCGCCATCCATGTCCTACCGTGTTTGTTCAAACGTAGTTGACCCGCTTGGGACGAATCTGGAGTAATCCTTCTGCGGGTAGAACTCCCAGCAGTTTGGACGAGCCAAGAGATGATCTAGCGATGGGTCCAGTGGATCCAACACGAAAGGATGTTTATCCAATTGCAACGTCAAACTCGTGTGGCTTTCGATGTCCCATCACATATTTGACCCAGGAGCTTTGCCTAACGAAACAAAATGGGCTGGCTTACAATCCCGGGACAGCTTCAAAAGGTTGAAAGGCTTGTCTTGATGCCCACATGACCCTTTTTCCAAGGGCAGCTAGTCTGGAGGCGAACGGCGTCAAGCTGGCAAGGCCGGCCGTACAGAAGTTGATAAGCTTGTCGTTCAGGATATGTGAGCAACGACGTGACCTTGTGCAGAGAGAAGCAAGCAAAACCTCCACACACTTACAATTGGAATGCCTGTCTTGGCTACAGCCTCAAAATGCAGGTGCCGCTGAAAATGCCAGATGCAGGGATGTCTGGGATGCCGGTGATGCATGGTATGCAGGGTGTGATGCAGAAGGGTGCAGGGTTGCAGGGGGGGGGTGCAGGGGGTGCAGGGGGTGCAGGGGGTGCAGGGGGTGCAGGGGGTGCAGGGGGCGCAGGGGGCGCAGGGGGCGCAGGGGGCGCAGACGGTGCAGGGGGTGCAGGGGGTGCAGGGGGTGCAGGGGGTGCAGGGATGCATGGAGATGCAGAGGATGCGTGCGGTGCATGGGATGCAGGGGATGCCCGTGATGCAAAGGATGCAGGTGATGCGGGAGATGCAGGAAATGTGGGCCGCAGGGAATGCAGGCATCAGCGTATGCTGGGGATGCATGCAGGTCAGGGGTGGAACAATTCAAATAAGAAATGAAATGCTGCGAGCTTGCCGTGAGAGTCCGAAATACAACAGACTCTGCTTCCAACTCGACCGGGATGTACAGTAAGTTAGAAGAGAACAGACTGTTCTGCACGCTTCCCAGGGGACAACCTTTGCACGAGCCCAACATCCTCTTAGTGATTGAAGGCTATGGAATTCTGTGCCGAGGCTGCGTGAGCTGTTGCGGTTTGTGCCACAGGTATCATGCTAAAGTTGCAGGGGTCGAACTGCAAGGGTTTGCTTTCTGCGGCTAGATTTGGGTCTTTAGATGCGGTTTCCCCAAAATCGGTGTGTCCATTCAATTGCCCTTCAGAGCAACCCAAATATCATACCATCAACATGGTGCATGCAGTTGGTTAATACAAGTTTTCTGCATATGGTTTGCTTTCATTGGATCTGGCACTTGAATACGGCTTCTACTTAACAGTGATGGGGCTCCCCGATGAACAGAGCTAGATTCATATCTGAGAAGAGAACAAGTTGTCACAGAACTCACTTTGAGGTTTCACCCTGGGCTTGAAGATCTCCGACTGACAAACGACGCTATATGTCTTGAACACTCTGAGGCGTCCCCTTTCAACTCAAATTTCAAGAGCCTGACAAAAAACGAAAACGTCAATCCTGGCCTTGAAACTCTCTGGAGGCAAGACTCAACATTTCCCAGAAAAGCTGTCCTCATCCAGTCTCCTGAGCTCTTGGAAATGTCAGATTTTACCGAATCTGCATCCCTGCATTTGTTTAACATATCTTCAAAACGCGAAATGTGTACATTGTCATGATCCGGGTGAGCTCTCCAGACGGGAAGACCCCTGAGCAAATTCACAGGAATTTGTTGCAACGTGCCGTGTTCGGCCAACTTTCCCTCAGAGGCAAATATTGATCAATCGCTGGGTAGCGTACACTTGTGTGTGTGCGTGCAATGTGCCAATATGTGTATATATATATATATATATTATGTAATATACATAATAATATATATATATATATCTTACATGTGGCCATTGGTTTACATGAAGCCGTCTTCACAAAACTTCGTCCAAAGCTCGCTGACGCTTTGTGGTCCAAATCAAGGCCGGAAACTGGGACAACCCCCAGTTTCAACATATTCACCTCATTTTGGATTACCTTTCAAGCGGGGGCGGACCCAAAGTGGTTGTTGGAACTGTCTGCCAGATAGCTGAGGCCACCGGCCACACAGTACAGCAGCCGCGCCTGCTCGTCCATCAAGCAGCAAACCTCCGACTTGGATCGACCCCAAGGGCTCGGCCCTGTAGGGTGTATTTTGCAACCGCCTTCGCGGGAGACACGGTCTTTCTCCTTATGCTCAAAACCAGTGGCTATGGTTTGCTATTCTCCTTTTGAGTTCTTGGCTGCAAAATAGACTCAACGCCCGTTTGATCCTGAAAAAGGGGGGAACCCTAAACCCTAAGACTCCCTCCAACCCATCTCTCAAAGGGAAGTGCAACTTAAAAAAAAATGGAAAACCTGTGTTGGTTTTACAGGCTTTTGAATGCGGGAACCGGTCCCTCCTTTTGACCCAGGCTCAGATACTTCGAACTTCAGCAAAAAAAAAATAGGCTTCTTGGAACTTTCTTAGCAGGAGAGTTCTGAGAACCTCTCTAGGATATGGGCGGTAGTGTCTTCCTGAACTCTAGGGCCATCAAACTCGGCAACCCCTGCAACATGATGGTTGGTCCTTTCGGCTTCCTTGAAGCGACGTACGCCTCCACAGAAGCCAACACCAAAACATGAGTGTGAATGAGAACCCTGCTGCCGTTCCTCCTGCTTCACCTTGCCCATCGACACTCATCAAGAACAAGGAATCAGATTTTGGACATCCCCCCTTTGCAAGCCTAAACCCTAGACAACCCCAACCTAAGGACCTGAGGTGTCCATAACCTACCAGGCCTAAACCCTGAACAACCCCAACCTACCGGACCATGGTTTCCCCCTCCGGCACCGTCCCACGGCTCTTTTCATTGGGGCCGCCGGCGCTGCCGTTGTTCCACTGCAGCCGTGTCCTTTGCCCAGCCGCCAACTTCTGAGAGGAGGCCTCAGCTGATTGGTCCTGACCCCCGAACCTTTGGGTAAACCTGAAATGGGTTCCAACAAATGGGTTCCAACAAATGGGTTCGCCTTTTCACACATGATTTCATGATTGGCCATTGGTGCGGGAACCCTTTGCTAGCAACCAGTTGGGAGACGTGTTGCTAGTTGGGAGAAAACAAACAACGTCATGTTCCAGTGAGGCAAAGGTTGGAAGAGAGGCAACCATCAAACGGCGAATATATAAATGCTTGGTGGAATGAGCACGAGGAGCTTGTGCACCGGTTAGGCAGCTGCCACCAAAACAATCAACTCGGTCGCAAGGCCTCCGTGTCAACTGAACCAAAGGCTTTGTTTTGGAAGGTAGTAATGATGATGATGATGATGATGATGATGATGATGATAATGATGATGATGACGACGACGACGATGATGATGATGCAGATGTTGTTGGCGATGACGATGTGGATATTGAGGATGGGGAGAAGGGCAAGAACGGGGACGAGGACGAGAACGAGGACGACCAGAACGACAAGGAGAAGGATGCGGATCAGGATACAGATGAGGATGAGACGCTGACGAAGACAATGATGATGATGATGATGATGATGATGATGATGATGATGATGATGGATGATCATGACGATGACGATGACGATGACGATGACGATGACGATGATGATGATGATGATGATGATGATGGATGATGATGATGATGATGATGATGATGATGATGATGATGATGATGATGATGATGATGATGATGATGATGATGATGATGATGATGGATGATGGATGATGATGACGATGATGATGATGATGATGATGATGATGATGACGATACCTGATGATACATGACGATACGGATGGTGATGATGAGGATGATGATGACAATGATGATGGATGATGATGGGTGATGATAAGGATGAGGATGACGAAGACGATGATGATGATGATGATGATGATGATGATTATGATGATGATGGTGGTGATGATGATGATGATGATGGATGATGAGGATGAAGATGATGATGATGATGATGATGATGATGATGATGATGATGATGATGATGATGGATGATGATGATGATAAGGGGATAAGGATCATGATGATGGCGATGCGATGATGACGATGACGATGACGATGACCGATGACGATGACGATGACGATGACGATGAGGATGAGGATGGTGATGGTGATGGTGACGATGAACACGAGATGATGAGGATGCCAATGAGGATGAGCAGATGGCAGCTTCATAAATGAAATTGATGGACGATAGATGGAAAATTATGGAATGGGGGGAAGGATGGAAATGGGTGGGAAATCGATGCACAATGTATGGGAAATTGAAAGAAACGGATGCAAAATGGATGGAAAATGGATGGTATACTAATGGACTTGATGGACACTTGATTGAAACATGATGGAACATGTCATCTGGAAAATTGATGGAACTTGGAGGGAAAACGAATGCAAAATAGGCAACAATTGATGGGACATGGGTGGAACATGAAAATGGAGCCTGCTTGAATGCAGGGACTGGAAGTGGTGTCTAGGTGGGTGTTCCCGGTGGCCGGCTGTGTCGCTTCAGCGTTTAAACAAGGCATCAATGCAACCTTTTTGGATTCGCCGCGCGGCTTCTTACAGGGGTCTCATAGGCATTTTGTTTTTGTTGCAGAAAGCAGACAAACTTGGACCAAATCACGAATTGAACCGGTGCTCTCAGCTTCAGCCAATCTGGCACCCGGCACATAATCAAGCTTTTGCCATGTTCTGTCATTAGGAACCATGCAGCTGGTTCACAAGAGTAATTCACGTTTGCGCGTTTAGCATGCATACGCCATGTCCTATCTCTAGAAAGCAGACGGTAGGATTAAGCGTTGTCTAAAGCGTGTTCTATGTTTCAGACCTCTTCTTTAGCTGATGGTCGCGTCAGACGCGAGGAAAACGCATGTGTTGTTTTTGCGTTTGGCGTTATCACGTCTGCGCGTGCGCAAGACTTCTGCAAATGGATGCTAGGTGGGGGGGGCAATGACGTTCCACGCACATACTCATCGCGCAGTCATCTGTCTGCGAACGGGCGTGCAGTTTTTCAGCCGGCTCAGACTTGTGGCTGGAAGCGCCGAACGTGATTGCTACGGCGCCTGCAAAAATGGCACGGCACGCCGCGTCTTGCCAAGTCGCAACACGTGTTATACTCTCCGGACCCCTTGAATTGTGCTGAGAACGCCCAAACTGGGTGATGTCCACTAGGTTTTTTCATGTGAACCAACTTCAAGAAAGGAAGCAATCACGTGTTCTCACTTGTTTGGGCACCTCCCTGCGTTGGCTCACCGGCCAATCCCACGAGAGCCAGCCGCGCGCCTTCAGCAGCTTCTGGAAAACTTCCTGAGTTTGCTCCTGGCAGAGCTCTGAGATGCAGCCTTGGAGCTCCCAGTGGATACTTCTGGGTATTTGAGCAAGTGGCCCTCCGGACACCATGGACTACCGGACCAGACATGTTGACCCTGTCTGCAAGAAGGTGCAAGGTCGGATACACAAATTGGAGACCTGTGCGTGAAAGGGGTACTGAACTTTGGGACCCTTCGGAAGGTTGCAACGCAAACCAAAGGATGGTGTGAAACCAAAGATCGTCCTGAGATTCTGGGGTTTGGGTTTGGAAAGCTGGGGCTTTGAGTTGTTGTCCCACCGTCTGCATGGAGTTTCGGTCTCAGCAAGGAGCACCTCGAGTACCCCAAACCCTAGAGCCCTTCCGGTTGCCGAAAGACGAAGTGGAAAACAAAGGACGCCCAAGTCCAAAAGGGCACCCGGTCTTGCAAAACCAACTTCGTTGGGATTCTCACACGGGTTCTGCACCTCAACGGCCTCCCTCAGTCGATTCGGAAGCCCAAACGATCCATGGGGAAGCTTTCAGCTCGGCGACACATGGACGCGGTTCCTGCTGCTCCACATTCTCTGGGTCGATGTAATACGCCAAGGTGACGCTGTCCTCCGAATAAGAAAAATGACATTTGGCCGCAGCTGGCAGAAGCTGAAGAAAAAACACGAAAAACATCGCCCTTGAGGGATTGAGAGGTTGAGAGCTTCAGGAGAGGGCCAAAGAGTCAGCGGGTCAGCGCGTGCGTTGAATTTTTGTTGGCCCGTCTTTGGCCTTGCACTCGCGCATGAAATCGAAAAAGGTCCTAGCAAGGAATCATATGGACCAAGGCTGACTCAGAACCCCAGTCGAGATGGAAGGACACCAAATGATGCACCAAACTGTCTACTGGCGAGCTGTTCATGTTCGCACAAATCATGCTCAGTGAGACGAAGAACCAAAAAAGAACAAAATGGGGCCAAAAATGATGACTTTCACCACTAAATGGAAAGTCACCCATGGTCATGTTGGGGCCAGGAATATTGATCAACCCCCAAATCTTCAGTACTGTAACTTACCACGTTCGCTGTGGTTGACATTATGGAATGATATCATACGTTCCCTTTTGCCATGGCCCCAGTTTTTTATCGAGTGCAATCACAGGGGGGTTCAGGGCGCACAGCTCTTGATCGTCATTCATTTCGTCGAGAAAAAAAAAAAAACTGTTTGTCAGTTTAAAGGGAAACCCCCCAAAAAAAAAACGGCCACTTTGGGCTCTCCAACCCAAACTTAGTTTCAAACTTCCTCTGGGAACTTTCTCCTCACATGGGCTGGGGCCTGAAAACATTGGATCCTTTCCCCGAGTGGAACCAAAAGTAAACACTCCCGCCCTGATCGCGGTTGGCTTGGGGTTCCCACACCCAAGACCATCTCAGACAACTTCCTTGAGGTTTCCAAGGTGTGCTTTCCTTTCTCGGAGTCTAGGCTTCAACGACGACCACTCAGATGCCGGTAAGCGCCAGATTAGGAAACCACTCAAATCCCCAGGGAATGGCCTTCTGATATGGGGTCTGATCAACGAGTTCGAAAAAATGATTTGTGAGGGCCGGTAGTGCGTCGGATTTTGTCGCTCCAAGTGCATCCGCCCGACTTGCAGATGGGAGCTCCAACCCCTCCCAGCCCTCCGTGCACTTCTATGATTGTTGGAAAGGAGGGTAGTCCGAAAACCAAGGGCACAACTCCCTCCACCCCCCCCCAAAAGAATGCAAAGCAAACTACCTTGCGGTTCCTGGATCCTCAGAATTAGAGGACCGAACTCCCTTCCGGTCCTTCACTCGACCGACCGCCAGAAAAGGCAGGTTGCTGCCGCCCCACGTGTGCTGCTGCATCGCAGGAAGGGTTTACTGGTACATCTCTCTCGGGCCAAAATTCCCACGGATGCGGGACTTCTTGCAGAGGAAGCAAATGAAAATATGCGCAGAGGCCGAGGGAGAGTTCTTTTTTTAGCTGGGGTGCACCCTCTTCCGGGAGGGAAGTATGCAAAGTCTGAGCCGGGTCCGAGCCCATGTCCTTTGAATGGGGCCCCTTAGGAAACCAAAGGAAACCGACTTTTGCCATTCCCCCTTTTTGGCTTTGAACACAAACCAAACAGGACACCACGCCGAAACACAATTTCGAGGTTATGGAAACGCACACATTGGTAGGCTCTTTCAGCACCACGAAGCCTCTAGAGGTCCATTTGCCTCCGGGAAAGGGTAGACTCAGGAGCAAACCCTTCTTTTCGTTTGCCCTTCAAACCCTTCGCCGAAAATTGTAATTCCCGAGCCTCAAAAACGCACTCCCATTTGACTGGCTTTCAACATAAACGGCTCCTTAGGGCTCAAAGATTTCACCTTGAGATCCACTGCGGTTTTCTTTGGAAATCCAAACACCGAGCCGGATTCATCCCCCCCATCGCCTTAAACGATGCTCATTGCCCAAGGAAAAGACGGGATGTTTGTCAAGATGTTGAAACCAACAGGAAACCAAACCTGCTTTTGTTAAGCCTCCAACGTTGAAACGGGTCGGGGCCTGGGTTTTTGTTGGCCACATTTCACAATTCGGGTGGACAACCTGGGGGACATTTCCGCAATTTTGAGATCAGGCGCAGATTCTGACTACCAAATCAAAGCTCAGCAAGCTCCCGAAGCTGTTCCTGGACATCTTCCGCCGACGGGCTTCGGCCTCGCAAGGCGGCAAAAGCCACTTTTGCCTAATAAGAAGCCAAAGCAAATAGATAAATTCACACGGGGGCGCGGGGGAGCGCGACCAAGATGAGGAGTCCCCCAATGAGATGCATGATGGGAAATGGCTTCCCCACCCCAAACAAAGACCACAGAATCCCATCAAAACTCACCACCACCAAAAAAGACTCGAAAGTTGGCTAATGTCTGAAGCAATCTCAACCCTGTGACCATGGTCGCCAGGGTTGGCCCTTTGACAAAGTTGCTTTGGGAACCCTCTTCCGCGTCCAGGTGAATATTCACGGCGCCATCAGCTGGCCTTGGACTTTGGAAAGGTTTCACCACGCCGTGTCCGATCGGTAGTTCGGTGAGTGGATTCGCCCCATGTCATCATGTCGTCCCCTTTATAGCACTGGCTGATGGTGAACATGTCCGAACCCATTTTGGTAAACCAACGTCCGATCTGCATCTGGCGCCCGTCGCTCTTGAGCCCCGGCTGAAAGACTCCACGTGAAGCGCGCCCGAAGCTGAGGCGGAGAGGTGGAAGAGGCCGTGCAGGCTGAGCGCACTGGCCTCCGCTCGGAGGTGGATCTTGGGAACCTCTGCAATTTTATGAACCCCCCCCCTTTGAGTACGGAGAAAATACAACCTTTTTAACTTACGCTAATCCTTGAGCCTTATTACGCCCGACCGTTCTTGCCGCGGCCCCCCTCTGGGAGACTCAGGTATGGCTGCATGAATAGTGGATTTGTCCGCGTTCCTCTTTTCAATCAGCTGAAGAAGGCCCCCCACTGTTTGGGAATCACCCCAATAGGGTATGGACCAAATGAAAACAGAACAAACCCACACACATGCCAGGTTTCCACTTAATCCCTTTTCAACCCATTCGCAAAAGAGCCCCCAGATGTAGGCGCACCCATTTTCCTTGGCCGAAAGTAAGCAATTCTAGGCCCCTCAAAGGGTCCTTTCTTTTTCAGGTGGGAAGTTGCCAAAAAAACAATTTTGCGAGTCTGATCTTTTCCGGGGTTGCCTGGGTGCTTTGCTTTTTAACGGGTAGACCAAGATCCAGGTATGACGGGACTTGGGTTTTTGGACACCATCAAGAAGCACCTTTGATGCTCAACAATGCGCTGGTGCCAAACGGCAACACAACCAAGAGCCCCGATGACGGCAAGGTTTCGATGACTTGTCGCGCGGAATACATGATCGAGCGTTGGCTCTCCGTGCTGCACTGACCGGCAAAGGCCCGGACTGCCAAAGCGCTGAGGGGGCCCTCGCCAAGCCTGGCTTGGCGTTTGCTGCGGTGCAGGGAGTAGGAATCATAATGTTGGTTGGGATCTGTTGAAAGAGCACCGAAAAAGGAGCATGTAGGGGGTTGGTGCCCCTTCATTTGTTGGGGCCCGCGACCTTGCGCGAGAAAAGCAGCAACAAATCATAGGTTCCCAAAGAAAGAACCTGCGTGAGGTTGCAAAGCCCCTGAGGTTGCCGTACGACCAGAATCAACTCTTTCTGAATCTGCGTCTATACATGGGTGTCTCTTTGTTTGGCACTCGCCGTAAAGAACCAGGATCCGCCTTCTCTTTCAAGTTGTTCCGTCAACATATTGGGGGACCCATGCACTGGCACGAACTGGCAGTGCTGCTGGTTTCCCTTTAAACTAACCTGAAACAGGTTCCCCCAGATGGTCCACCAAAAGGTCCCTAGATAAGAAAAATTCGCACACATATGGCCATGGGTCAAAATCCATTACCCCCAGTGAACATCCCAATCCCCACTAAAATAGGTTCTAAAATTGGTGAATTCACCTACCAACCAAAATGAGATCCAAAACGGTTTTGACAACAGCCACATGGGGACCACGTGTCCAACGCGCCAAGTGGCAGCTGCTGCAGCAGCGGCGGTCGCAGCAGCGCGTCGCAGGTGCCTGGGAGCGGCAGCTTTCATTTCTTGGGGGTGACGCTGCTGTGAGTGTTTGTTTTGCATGTGTCGCGTTTTTGGTAAAGGGTAAACTTTCGGAGGTTGTTTCATAGAGAAATCAAAGGAAAGTTAAACCAGTATGGGATCGTGGAACGATCGATGTGATACCAAGCATTCGGGTGCGCGGGGGTTGGCTTTTAAGGTAACCAAAAGACCAAAGCATTTGGAGGTGTTTTTGTTGCAACTGGTGCCCATTCAGAAAACAAAGACCCCCATGTTGGAAATGGACCCTCTCTGGGATGTGTCAAAAAAAAAAAAAAAAACGCCCCTTGCAGGATGACAGTCTCCCTTTAGAATAGATCAAAGGAATCTCGAGTTTCCACACATTCTGCAGAGGAAAAAGGGTTCTAAAGCCACCAACACCTCCTTTCTCTGGGTTTGAGTAAGGATTCGGGATCCTTTTCCGGCCCAGCGGACCCCTCTCGCCTTCTCCGTCGCAAAGGCTCAGCCAAAGGCCCGGCGCGCCTCGTCGTCTATCACGGGCTGCGTTTTCCGAAGATTGTTTATGGGGTGGACCCTGGTGCGATGAAACCCGTAAATGATGGAATGTTAAATGTGAGATAAACAATGTTTATGTATATACACATACAGATACATGCATATGCATGTGTATGTGTATATTTATAGAGATAGATAGATAGATAGATAGATAGATAGATAGATAGATAGATAGATAGATAGATAGATAGATAGATAGATAGATAGATAGATAGATAGATAGATAGATAGATAGATAGAGAGATAGATAGAGAGATAGATTAGATAGATAGAGAGATAGATTAGATAGATAGATAGATAGATAGAGAGATAGATAGATAGATAGATAGATAGATAGATAGATAGATAGATAGATAGATAGATAGATAGATAGATAGATAGATAGATAGATTAGATAGACTAGATAGACTAGATAGATTAGATAGATTAGATAGATTAGATAGATTAGATAGATTAGATAGATTAGATAGATAGATTAGAATAGATAGATTAGATAGATTAGATTAGATTAGAGTAGATTAGATTAGATTAGATTAGACTAAATTAGGTTAGATTAGATTAGATTAGATTGGATTAGATTAGGTTAGATTAGATATCATTAGATTAGATTAGATAGATAGATAGGTAGATAAATTAGATAGATAGATAGATTAGATAGATTAGATAGATTAGATAGATTAGATAGATTAGATAGATTAGATAGATTAGATAGATTAGATAGATTAGATAGATAGATAGATAGATAGATAGATAGATAGATAGATAGATAGATAGATAGATAGATAGATAGATAGATAGATAGATAGATAGATAGATAGATAGATAGATACATAGATAGATAGATACATAGATAGATAGATAGAAAGATAGATAGATAGATAGATTAGATAGAGAGATAGATAGATAGATAGATAGATAGATAGATAGATAGATAGATAGATAGATAGATAGATAGATAGATAGATAGATAGATTAGATAGATAGGATAGGATAGGATAGGATAGGATACGATAGGATAGGATAGGATAGGATAGGATAGGATAGGATAGGATAGGATAGGATAGGATAGGATAGGATAGGATAGGATAGGATAGGATAGGATAGGATAGGATAGGATAGGATAGGATACATAGATAGATTAGATAGATAGATAGATAGATAGATAGATAGATAGATAGATAGATAGATAGATAGATAGATAGATAGATAGATAGATAGATAGATAGATAGATAGATAGATAGATAGATTAGATAGATAGGATAGATAGGATAGATAGATAGATAGATAGATTAGATTAGATTAGATTAGATTAGATTAGATTAGATTAGATTAGATTAGATTAGATTAGATTAGATTAGATTAGATTAGATTAGATTAGATTAGATTAGATTAGATTAGATTAGATTAGATTACATTAGATTAGATTAGACTAGATTAGATTAGATTAGATTAGAATAGATTAGATTAGATTAGATTAGATTAGATTAGATTAGATTAGATTAGATTAGATTAGATTATATTTTATACTATATTGTATTATGTTATATTATATTTTATATTATATTATATTATATTATATATTATATTATATTATATTATATTATATTATATTATATTATATTATATTATATTATATTATATTAGATAGATAGATAGATAGATAGATTAGATTAGAGAGATAGATAGATAGATAGATAGATTAGATTAGATTAGATTAGATTAGATTAGATTAGATTAGATTAGATTAGATTAGATTAGATTAGATAGATAGATAGATAGATAGATAGATAGAGAGAGAGAGAGATAGAGAGAGATAGAGAGATAGATAGATAGATAGATAGATAGATAGATAGATAGATAGATAGATAGATAGATAGATAGATAGATAGATAGATAGATAGATAGATTAGATAGATAGATAGATAGATAGATAGATAGATAGATAGATAGATAGATAGATAGATAGATAGAGAGAGAGAGAGATTGATTGATTGATTGATTGATTGATTGATTGATTGATTGATTGATTGATAGATAGATCGATGGATGGATGGATGGATGGATGGATGGATGGATGGATGGATGGATGGATGGATGGATGGATGGATGGATGGATGGATGGATGGATGGATGGATGGATGGATAGATAGATATATTGTGTGGTCCCCCAACAGGTGGATCGGTCGCTGAGGGCGGGGTACAACTTCCGGGCATTGTGTTTGAAATCACTCTCTTCCCCAAAATCCGCGTTGAAGTCCAGAAAAACTGGGGGGGAGGTGGAAGCACCAGGTGGAAGCCTCCAACCCTACCAGGTCTCCCGAAGCCTGCAACGGAATCAGCGCTGGACACGTAGAACCGCAGCCGCACCTCCCAGGGGCAAAGTCGGCGCCGGTGTCGATGGTGACAAAGGCGAGAAATGGGCGGCGCGTGCGTCTTTTTGAGAAAAAACCCGGCGAAAGCCGAGAACTTCCTTGTGGTGTTGGGTCAAGACCAGAAAAAGAGAAGAAAAACAAGGACAACCATCGAAAAAAGACATTGGCCTTTCTGTAGCCTTTGCGAGACCAGGTACCAGAACCACCGGCAAACAGGATGCTCCCAAAACCCGGCATGAGGATTACGCTTTTGTCACAGCCTGTTTGGGATTGCACAAGTTTTGCATACCGCCAACAAAGAACCATACCCTTAGAGGGCTTGGGGAACCTTCGCAACTAGGCCAAAGGAATGTTGATTTGGACTCCCAAGACGGTGTCTGGGTCTTTTTTTTGCGCACCTCGCGGGGTTCACCCGGGCCGAGGCAGCCCGCTTCAGCAGCCGCATACCCCGGCGCTGGCAAGGCCACCCCGTGCGACGCGGGCGCCGGCGCGGATGGCGCGGGTGGCGCGGGTGGCGCGGGTGGCGCGGGTGGCGCGGGTGGCGCGGGTGGCCTCAGGAGATTTCGGGTCCGGCGCTGTCCAGTCGCTGCGCCTCTTCTAGAGCGTGTACTAGCCATTTGACCTTACAGGCAAAAAGAATCAGAATCACCAAGCGAAAGTCGCATGTGACAAGTCGGTTCGGGGACTAAGACTGAGGAAGCACGTCGGCAAACTTTGGGAAACCGATTCCACCCCTGGCCCGCGGCCTCTGGCCTGACTCACAGACTTCAAAGCTAAAGCTCGGGGCTTTCACAAAGCCAAAGCGAACCCATTCGGAGGCATCCCACGCCATATGGCCAGTCTCAGGGTCTTTCGGTCATTGGGCCAAACGGAACTCCCAGAGATCCCAAAACGAGCCATGTCTTCGCTTGGCATTCCTCCCAAACACCAAACCAACCGTGGAATCCTCCCAAACACCTCCTCGTCCTTGCCCATTTGAGATGCCCCGCGAGTCCGCGAGCTGGCCTTCCGCAGCCTGGGGTGCCCGAAGGTTGCACCTTTTTTTTTGTTCCTCCCTTTAAAGGAAAGCTCAGCACTAACTGAGGCGGAGCTGTTCGCTTCAGAGGGACCTAAAAAATACAAAGGTTCACCCTTCGGAGCATGACAAACAATGGAGCAAGCCTGGAAACTCCAGAGGTACGTTCGAGTCACTTTGGGCAAGTCAGTTCAGGCAGTGGAAGAGTCCTGGCCCTAAATTTGGGGACAAAGGTTAGTGACGGGAACACCCTCCGAGGTTGTGAACATAAATTCCAACGGAAATGGTGCCCGGCCTTGGTCAACGTTCAAGCCGAAACCTGAGATATAGATATTTGTTCTAACGTCATCACCGAAGTCAATGGCAAAGCTTTCGAATCGTAAGATATCAGCAAACTGGTTTGTGTGTGTGTGTGTGTCAAAATATGCGTGCCAAGCCTAAACCAAATTTAAAAGGGTACCCTGACAAAAAAACAAAACAAAAAAGTTCCGCCCCCAACAGACCTTCTCGATTTGGAGCACCAAACTAAACCCCGCTTGCCTGTCCGTTCCTGCCGGGCCCCCTTTGCTCGGGCCCGTTTTGTCGCGCCAGGTGGAAGGCCTGGCGAAAAGAAAAGCACAGACGCACAAACAGGGACCCTTACATGAAAAACACCTGAACATTGCCTTGTAAATGGTCGTGTCCCTTTATTTTGGTGGAAAAAGCAACATGGTTCAAATGCGCAAGATGTGCCCTGACAAACAAACAAACAAAGAAGCACTGCCAGACAGGACCAGGACGGGACAGGACAGGACAGGACCAGGACAGGACCAGGACGGACCAGGCAGGACCAGGCAGGACCAGGCAGGACCAGGCAGGACCAGGCAGGAAAAAGCAGGCAGGCAGGCAGACAAACAAACAAACAAAATATGATGAGACATATCAAAACAACTAAAAAACATGAAACACCGAAGCCCCGAACCAGGCAAATCCCGTTGGCACCAAGACGCCGCGCTGCGCTGCACTTCCCATGGTCTAGGAGATCCGCCAAATGGGGATTCCTAAATGGCAAGCAGAGGCACCACAGGAAAACCTGTCAACCACCAGTTCCCAGGGTTTCGGGCAGGATGCGGCTAACTTACTTGCAATATTTGCGTGTGCCTTTTCTAGGCAGTCAACTTGGCGTTAGGGAATGAGAAACCCAGAGCGAACCAACCACTGAGGGGGAATTCCTATATTGGGAAACACGCACACAAGTTTCGCGTTGCTTAACCTCGTTGTTTTCGCTTGCATGGAAAGGAAGGTATTGTTAACTTCGACAAAGCCCTGGTTTCTCGCCCACAACTCCTAGCCGTATTTTGCGACGCATCCATCGAAAACATGGATGAGGCCGAAATCATCCGCGGACATCCGAAATTCCACCAACCCTAAACCATCCCTTCAAGCGCCAAACAGCCTCGTAGCCCGACAGTTCAACTCTCTCGTCCCCAACCCCCAAATGCTGCTACTAAAAGAAAACCAGAACAAAACCCGGTTTGGTTATCCTTTAGAGACTCAGAGCAATCCTGCCAGCAACCCCCCCCCCCACCCCAAAAAACAAAAGCAGCGAACTGTTTCCGACTGGACCATAGTTTTTCTAAGGAGTCCATGTGCGAAAAGGAACCCCTCTGGTCGGTTTCCTTGAAGGGAGAGATGGCTGTGGGTCAAAAATAGGCACCCAAAATGAAACCCCCCACAAAAAAAAAAAAGGACTAAAACCTGCGGTCAAAAAAACCTGGTGGTTTCATTTTGACCCACAGATCACAAAACCCAGAAAACTATCCCAGCCGCGCCTCCAGGTGCTGTGGCTCCAGCAGCAGCAGCCCCCGCCGCACCAGCGGCCGGTTCCCCAAGATCAGCTTCGAGCCCGGGGCCGCCTCGAGTTCGCGTCACCTGCTCAAAACCCGGTACAAAAATGGTCGTAATCCCAGAACCATGCTTCAAGATCAAGAATTAAGAAGGCGGATTCCCGCAATTCATCTACCCCGGTTTTGATTGTGGCTCAAGTTCAGTCGAGTCAGAGGGCGACTTCGAGTCAAACCGCTCCCTGGATGTCTTTCGTTGAGACTGCCACTTTGCAGGTTCCTAGAAGGGAAACGGAGGAAAGTCTGAAAACCCTGCGCAAAGTGGGCATGGCCCTTGTTTTATGTTTGAAGCCTCAGAAGGGCCTACTTGGATGTTGCTAGAGCCCGGATTGAAGCCGGCAAGCCCTTTTGGGCACTAGGGCCTTAAACCATGAACCCTATATTCCAAATCGTCCCACAGAGGCAGGTTGCAACCATCGTCCCACCGTCCCACTTACCATCACACAAACAGACTGCAGGACCACCTCTGCAAAACCAGCACCTGCTTGAACCGTCTCATGGAAGGTGAGACGGTTTCTCAGAGTTGCCGCAAGGAGCGCAAAAACCGGTCGTGAGGGTTGTTTGTGGGCCACTTCTTGCGCCCGGTTGCATGTTACCCCACCGAGAGAGGGACGCGCTCAAACGCAATCGGCTGGTGAGCTTGCTACCGAACTCCATGCGTGGCAACCAGCAGCAGCTGTGTTGAGAGATCCTTTGTCGAAGATCTGCCAGGTCTTGTCAAATGCATCTTGGGCCATTTCAAAAGTGAAATGGTGCGACATGTCAACAGAGCATTTGTACATATTCACAGCTTTGCAGAAACGGCCACATGAGCAGGCTGTCACCCAGGGCACTTGCGCCGGCGACACCCATGGCAAGCTTTCCGTTCAAACCAAATTGCGCTCACAGAGCTTGCTCGATTGGCACAAGTGCTGCGCAGCACGGCAACCAACAAGACGGTGCCTACCCGGCAAAATGTGCAAGCCCTGTGATTTCAGATCCATATGCAGCTTCAGGCTCCTCTTGAGGCGGGAAAGGAAACCCCGCACACTGTCGGCTGTTTTCTGTGGTGCCTCAAAGCCGCACAACCGTGCAGTGTGCCCGGTGAAGAACAAAGGAAAGAAACACAAACTGCAACCTGTAGACCCGGATCGGGAGGTTTTTGTAAAATCTGGCGGATGAACAGGGAATGCAACTCCCAGGGAAGAGGGGTCCTCTGAAATAGGACAATCCACAAATGGCGGGCTTCCGTTGGTTCCTTTCGCCGGTGGAACAAAAACAAGCCTCATTCTTAGAGGGCCCTCCTTTTGCACACCCTCCTTTTGGTTCCGTGTGAAGTTGCAGTGGGGTGTTCAGAGGCAGAGAACAAGGCGATCAAGAGTCGGGTTTAACAGCGCCCCATCTTGGCGTCCAAGACCCACGCGCCTGTCTGAGTGCCGCGATGGGACGGCGCTCAATGCCGCAGACCGCCTAAACGTTTCGGCGCAAAGTCGACCGTTTTGACAAACCTCAAGTGGGGGGGTCTCTCAGCGAGAAGCTTGCCGTCACTTGGTTTCAATATGCGCACTAACTCTGTTGATTGACCATCGGTTTTGATGAATGTGTGCAGGTCGTGACGAATCGCTGTATCCGGAGTCTGATGATCAACCCCATGTGTGACAACTAAGGGGCTGGAGGCTACGACTGGCCGTCTCAAGTCAGGAACCCCCGACACAAGCCAATTCAAACGCATACTGAGCCATTTCACGGCAAAACAGAAATGATATCTTCAGGGAAAAATCGAAAACATATGTATGTATGTATGTATGTATGTATGTATGTATGTATGTATGTATGTATGTATGTATGTATGTATGTATGTATGTATGTATGTATGTATGTATGTATGTATGTATGTATGTATGTATGTATGTATGTATGTATGTATGTATGTATGTATGTATGTATGTATGTATGTATGTATGTATGTATGTATGTATGTATGTATGTATGTATGTATGTATGTATGTATGTATGTATGTATGTATGTATGTATGTATGTATGTATGTATGTATGTATGTATGTATGTATGTATGTATGTATGTATGTATGTATGTATGTATGTATGTATGTATGTATGTATGTATGTATGTATGTATGTATGTATGTATGTATGTATGTATGTATGTATGTATGTATGTATGTATGTATGTATGTATGTATGTATGTATGTATGTATGTATGTATGTATGTATGTATGTATGTATGTATGTATGTGTGTATGTGTGTATGTGTGTATGTGTGTATGTGTGTATGTATGTATGTATGTATGTATGTATGTATGTATGTATGTATGTATGCATGTATGTATGTATGTATGTATGTATGTATGTATGTATGTATGTATGTATGTATGTATGTATGTGTGTGTATGTACTATGTATGTATGTATGTATGTATGTATGTATGTATGTATGTGTATGTATGTATGTATGTATGTATGTATGTATGTATGTATGTATGTATGTATGTATGCATGTGTGTATGTATGTATGTATGTTGCAGATCTTGGCATTCTCGAGCATGATTTTGTCATTGCAGCCATAGGCATTAGGCTTTGGTAAGTGAGCTATTTTTGCTTGAGGTTGCATGAGTGGACATGTCTTGCGAGTTGACATGTCCACCTTGAGGAAGTTGGAGTGGCGTGCCTATTTTGGCTCAAGCCACATGCGCACGGTGAATGAGTGCGCTGCCTGTGAAAACAACGAGCCGCTTCGCGGGTGTGCCAGAGAGTCGGGACACGGGTGAGACGTGGATTCTGGGTTAGTCCTTGGTTAGGATTAACGCCTCTCACAGTTGGGGGCTGTTCTGGGAAATCTGAACTCCCTGACCCTTGTAAGCACACCGCGGTAAAAGGCTTGTGTGGGCAGCCTCTACTGAAGGATGAGCCAGGAAGTTTCAGGCGAAGAACTTGGTGTCACTCTGCTTGACTGCATCAGAGATGGAAGGGTACCAAGGCCTGAGGAAATGAGCTTCCCGGCTTGGCAGCGCTGGAGGAAGCGTGAAGGTCGTCGACCGACCCGCCGGCAGGATGGCCGCGGAATGTCTACGGTCGAAGAAGTAGCTCTTTGGAGAGCCGTGACGGCGGAGCTATATGGGGAAGACCGAATTGAGGACCTTGAAGAAGAAGAAGAACAAGATGAAGAAGAAGAGCCGGAAGCCAGACCAAGGCTGAGGCCGATCCCAGCTCTTATGGGGCCAGCAGAGCCTGACGATGGGACTCGGCCGTCGCCGCGACCAGTGGGGTTTGCGGGCGAGGCCCCGGGTGAGCAAGCCCGGCCGGCTATCAGAGATGAAGGTGGAAGAGGGGAGGAGAAGGGCAGAGCTAGCCCGGCTCCCTCTTCGGGATACACCGGTGTCTCCATGTCGGAGATGCAAAGGAAGCTGTTCGCACTTCATGATCCGAGGTATGAGAGCCTCGCGGCCTATCGGGCGCGGGCCGAACGGATCTCCCATGCGTTAGAAGTGCTGGGACAAGAAGTGGGACCGGCTGACCTGCGGTCAGTCATCATGAAGGCAGAGTTGATACAAGAAGGATACGAAGCTCTGGGTGACTTTGACCCTAGGACCATGGTTGGTCACTTGAGGGAACAGTTCATCATGCTGGCCAACGATGACACGAAGGAGCCAGAAGAGAAAGGACTCACGACGGTCGCGATCGCGGAGTTGATCCAGGACTTGGGAGGCCGAGTGAGTACGGCTCCTGACAAAGTGTTCTCTACTCCATCCGACGAGCTCCATGATGACCGGAATAGAGGTTCGAAGCGGAGCCGTGAACCCACCGATGGAGACGAAGGCGTTGTAGCCTTGAGATCCAAGATGGTGGCAATGCAGATGGAGCTGGAGTCCCTGAAGAAGGACAAGGACAAGGACAGGGCGGCCTCAGAGGCGTCCTCTCCTGAGAAAGAGCTCGCGAACGCGCTGGAGCATCAAACAGCGGCCTTGATGAAGGCGCTGGAGGGCCGTAATCAATCGCAAGTTATGTCGGTAAAAACAGACTTGCAATGGCCCACGCTTGGGGACGAAAGGAGCGACTCTAAGGACGTGTCCGAGTTCTACGACCATTTCGAGGACAACTGTGGTCTCGCGAACTCCTGCAAGGGCATGAACTATCGGGAGATGCTGCTTGCGCTGAGATCTCGGTGCAGGGGGTCCCGCCTCAAGACGTTCACGAACCTCTATAAGTCGGCCGGCGAGATAGAGAAGGACCCGGAAAAGGTGTACAAGCGGATCAAGGCGAAGCATCTCATGTTCTCGGAGAGCCCGGAGGAAAGGGAGATACGAGTTGACGCAGAGCACGTAGCTTTGGCGAAAGGGAAGATGACAGGGCACCAGTTCGAACCGCTTTTTGAGGCGAGCGTCACGGAGCTGGAGACAGTTGGCCTGGGTAAGAGTAAGAGGGAGCTGTACCTGTCGTATCTTCGCAAGATGCCTGCGCACCTGCAGAAAGAGATCCGGAGTGACAAGAGGTTGTGGGCTGGTGAGACCCAGCTGAGAGGACCTCAGACATGGGAGGAGGCTCATCGAGTGGTTCTGGAGGTCGAGCAGCGAGAAGCCACTCATCGGGCGACTGCGAATGCTGTCTACTCCACGGAGACGGAGAGGCAACAGCAACCTCCGAAGAAGGAGCCAAAGAAACCGAAGGAGCCAAAGGCGCCGAAGCAGCAGGTTTTGGCGGCCACAGAAGGCACGAACGGCAAGAAGCTGTGTTTCCACTACAGGGATCATGGAACCTGTCCGTGGGGAGACAAGTGCCACTACTCCCACGACAAGGAGCTTCGGAAAAAGGCGCTGGCGGAGAAGAAGCAGCACGCGGAGAGCGGATCAGTTCTCGCGGCTAAGGGCGAAGGAAAGGGCAAGGGGGACCAGAAAGGGAAAGGTAAGGGAACCGGAAAAGGAAAAGGAGATTCTAAAGGGAAGAGCGGTTCCAAGGGCAAGTATGATGGAAAGAGTAAGAAGGAAGTCCTCTGCCCTTTCTTCCGGAAGAACGGCGCCTGCAAGAAGGGGTCCGGGTGCGATATGCTGCACGCGCTCGTGATCGGCGAAGAGACCGGAAGGACGCAAGGAGTCGCGACTCAGCAGTCTTTGGCAATGGGGCCGAAGCCGGATGCGAGCTCCCTGATCAACCCGTTCGCTGCACTTAGCGTGACGATCGGAGAGTACAGTAACTCAGAAGTGATCTCTGGCGGAGTGTTGAAGACGTCGCCGAGCAACGGTGGCGGAGGTCCAGGGATCGCGGAGCTTGACGATCTGCCGAAGGATTGGTGGGAGGTCGTCCAGAACGAGTCCGGAGGGTACCAGTACCGGACCGTGGTGAAGATCCTGGGGAAGCAGGTGGAATGTATGTTGGATGGAGGTGCCGGTGCCAATCACATCACGGAGGAGCTGGTGGTCAGCATGGTTGAGCACGCGAGGAAGAAAGGAGTCCAGCCCGACAGCAAGGACTACCCGATCCTCAGGTTCGAGAAGTGGGTCTTCCCTGAGTTTGTGCATGGCATTGCATCGGGCAAGCCAGTGCCTTTGAAGGGGAGCGTGGTCCTCCGAGCTAGGCTGCAGGAAGGACCGACACCGGAGGCGTCGAAGGACGGACCAGAGCTGTTCATCCGGTGTAAAATCGCAGCGAAAGGCTGCTCAGATTGGCACGGAATCATACTCGGAGGCCGAGCCCTCGATTGCGAAGCGAGAGGCGGCTTGGGCTTCAGGCCGGGACCGGGGTTTCACTTCCTTGATACCGTGGGAGTGAAGATGCCTCGCTGCGAAGATCACAGCAAGGGGAGGCACGACAGAGCTTACCCGTTCTCGGTGGCCTCTTCCCTTGATGATCATTCGGCTCTTCCGAGGGATGGTGCGCCAAGGGACCTCTTGGTCGCGGCCTGCGGTGAGCCAGTTGAGCTCTTCCCTGGTGATGGAGTGCTCATCCCGGTCGATCGGGTCCGAGAAGGGCTCGATGTGGATGACCAGGGAAGATCATGCGAGGCGATCTTGCCCATTGGTGACTCGGTCGAAGCAGTGCCAGGCATTTGGCCTACCGGAAGCCAAGAAGGTATGGTCTTGATAGCCGCGAAGTATGAACCGGTCGTGATTGAGGCCGGTGAGACGGTTGCGGAAGTGCGCAGAGGGCGCATCGCGGCCAGTGAGTGCACGCGCTGCCACATGTGGGATTCGAAGTTTCAGGACAGCTGCCACTTTGAAGATGACAGCTGCAGTTCCTGTGGGACCGGCATTTTGCGGCCGGACTCGTGCAGTCAATGCGGAAGTGAAGAAGTCCGACAAGTGCGTTTGCAGGGATGCGAAGAGTGCATCGCGACGGACTTGAATAAGGAAGGAGCGGCTCGGGAGGATGAGGAAGTACTCCCGGAGCGCGCGTCCGGTATCGGCGCTGCGAGGATTTCGCGGGGAAACGGCCGACCGAGAAGGTGGGGGCTTGGAG